TTTGAACAGAAATCGCGAACTATTCTGCTGAGATCATTAATAGAGAACAGTCGGCTAATGTGATTATGCATCACGTGAATACCGCGGTGTCCACTACGTCCGCAATGTGCAATTACCAGTAGTCGCTGAATTAGAGCCGTTGCTGCCTTAGGTATCCATATTTTGCCATCCATAATCCACCAGTCATCACTACTAAGAGGTGCACCCGCTGGAGAAGTATGCAGGGCTTGTTCACATCCAATCTCTTCAAGAGTAGGCCACACAAAACTTTCATCATCGAGAGGACGTAGTCGCCTTTCCAAAGTCGATGCATTGTTAATAGGTTCACCACGTTTCTGTTTTGAGCGTGTAAATCGTTTTGCTGAGTGTATATGCGCTGCTGGTTGAGCTCCACCACCCCATCTTGAAATTAAGTCGGCCTAAACATTGTGAACACCCGCAATATGATCAATAGTATACCGATACTCCAAAAGTTTTGTAGACCATCTCAGTAATTTGCCGCGAACATGCTTCTTCAACTCTTGGCTGGGGCTGAACAAGTAGATAATGTTTCTATGATCACAATAGGGACGGAAACCCTGAGGTCGTAATAGTAGGTATTCCAGTCTTTCACACGCGTGAACTATTGGGTATGACTCTGTTTCAATCACACTCCAATTCAGCGCGGAACCAGTGAAGGTACCTCCCATGCATACGAGAAGTTCATGTTGCTGCTCCTGAATGGGCAGGTCAGGCTGCCATCGTTCCACCTGTGAAACTACAAGTCCCCATCCCACGTCTGAAGCATCACTGAGAACACACAACTGCTTGGTTGGGTCGGGAAAAGTCAACATCGCTGAGTTTCCAAGTAGTTCTTTCACTGATTCAAAACTCGCAACTTCATCGAGGGTCAGATCCAATTTGATTCCTGCAGCTGCTCGTTTGGTCTTCTTTGTGCCAGCAAGAGCGATATCAAGACGTTCCTGTAGAGGACGAGCTACCCGAGCATAGTCGACTAGTCCTGATCTCATCCAATTGCTTGCACACAAAAATTGTTGCAATTCCGCAGCTGTAGTTGGAACAGGCATATTCTGCAGAGCTTCTATCCGTTTCGGATCGTGACCAACTCCGTCTCGATTAATTATACGCCCACACCAGCGTACTTCAGTTAGAAACAATGCGCTCTTCTTCGGGTTGAGAATTAGACCATGTTCGTCGAGTTTCACTAAAACGGCCTCAATTGCATCCACCAGTTCCTCTGCAGTGTCCGCAAAGACTAACAAATCGTCAATCCATACAATGACGCAGTTGTTCACAAGGTCTCCCAACACCATCTCAATCGTGGACTGAAAATGCAATGCAGCATCAGTGCTACATTGAGGTACTCTCGTCGGTGTATATACGCCTTTGTCTGTCATGTACGAGAGGATTTCCTGGCAGCTCTTGTCCAAAGGGAGTTGCCAAAAACCCTTCAAAAAATCAAACATTGCATAGTACATCTTGCCCTTACAGAGTGCAAGAGCCACTTCCAGTTTTGGCATCACGCCCGCAAGCGGCTCAGTTACTGCATTTGTAGGTCGATAGTCAACGGCTTGTCTGAACTCGTTCGAATTTGGCTTACTAACCGGAAGAGCTGGACAACACCATCGACTTTCCCGGTTTTCATATACCCAGCCCAGTGACACTAGCTTCTTGTTAAAATCAACCATGAATTTGGACTTCTCAGGGCTGTATTGGCGGACCTTACAGCGATAGGGAGTAGCATTCGGCTTCAGCCTCATTTTTAGTGGTGGGACTCTCGCTGGTGGATCATCGCCAAGCTCTAAGCGCCATCCACCATACTTCCGAACAACTTCATACAGTCGACTAGTCGCATATTCGTCAATAACCCCACGGTCAATTGCATCTCGGACTAATGCATCGACGACATTCATCACAACATCACCAACCGTAGGTTTTACCGTAGCTTTACACGGTGGTATTCCCACAGGTTCATCGAATGGGTCACACTACGCGATGCCAAATACTCCAATTGCCGATCCACATCGATACCAAGTTCGACCAATAATAATTTACCGACGATGAATTCATCCTCATCGGTTTCGACAATCAAGCATCTCTTAGCATCCTGACATCTCACTGG